TCGTGCTCGCCCACCAGCCCCAGGCCTTGTTGTTCTCGTTCAGTCAGCTTCCCAGTGCCGATAGTCAAAACTACATCGCCATGTGAGAAGGCACTGTATAAACGTCCCCAAATCTCATCGGAGGTCAAATCGTCGTGGTGTAAACAGACTTGTTCCGGGATCCAACCAGTAAGCACCCAAAGGTCGGTCCCTGAGTTACTTCCTGGGAAGTCATAGCCTCCACGGACCTTCAAGTAGGCCTTCTCCACAAGAGCAGGCCACAAAAAATTCGAGTTATTGCGATCGATTACGTGGAGTGAGCGTGTAGTCTTTGACGATGGCAATCGATCATCTATCACTACCTTCCGGAAAGATCCGTTGAAGTAGAACCGAAATATGTACTTCCCAGAATGCGAAAGTATCGGGTTCCTATCCTCACTGCACGGGTACAATGTCGGTGATGCATGCTGCTCGGATTAGCTTTTCAAGATTCCTCGACGTGGGATCAAGTAAGTCCATACCTGCCCTAGACCTCGTTCCGATCGAGATGTTGTGGCACAGAGGCTCGCGACCACTGAGCAATCTGTCAAGACATCCTGCACGAGATCTGTTTGTTTTGAAGTCGACATAGCTGGTTCAATTGCATCATGTACCTGATTGGCCGCGTTATTTGTTCGTAGCAGATCGTGCGGCCGTTTCCAGCCCGCGAAAATTTCTCTCTGGCATTCAGAGAGGTGCAAATCAGGCGCATCCCTATACCCGGTTAGAATAGATCAGCATTGGGCCATCTTCTCGACATACGTAAAAGGCTGCCCTTTGAATACAAACTCATCCTGAAGCGGGGCGCGACTCCATGGTGGAAAGATGTAGCCATTAAGTTTGGCGCCCTCGAGGATAATGATTTCTTCACGGGTGGTGAGCTTCCGCGTGGATGCCGGCGGCCGTAGGCTGGGGAAGGCTTTCTGGGGCCCCGCACGAGCAGCCGACTGCCAGTCAGCAGCAGCCTTGATCTTCTCAGCTTTGGACAGCAATTCCTTGCATTTTTTATCTAGTTGTTTTTTATCCTCGGCGGGCGCCAAGCGCAACGCTTTCATGTAATGCTCCGCGGCATTGATGGCTGCCTCCAATGCCGCTTTCTGGGAGGTCGCTGTGGCTACTGCCTCTTCAGCGCTCTATCAAGTCATTAGCTTCCTTCAGGTATAATTGAGAAACATAATTCGGTACCAATGCTTGAGATATGTAGGACTGTGTGGGAGCAGGTCTAGACATACTTGCGTTGACCGGTCGTGGGGTATCCAGGTAATCAGATCGAACAGCAAGTAAATTACCGGATTAGGCTGAGCCGAGAGGGCCCTTTACAGATTGTGAAATATTCCGCGACTTACTATTGTAGAGATCGATACATTTGGTAATAATTGGTATATTGAGAATACTGTACACAATATAATGAAAATTATCCCATCAAGCACATATTTAGTTAGTTAACTCTGTAAAGTGAAGTGAAGTCATGACATAAGCCCATACCGACCTCACCCCGAAGTGGACCTCGGCTTGTTTTTTAGGTGATAGCGCCGAGGTGCATTTGTGAATTCCCGCATGAGCTCGGTCTCTCTTTTTTTTTATGGTTCGGGTGACTTCGGTATGATCATCGTCTCTATCCATTTCCCCATTGTGCTTTCTCCTCAATCTCACCTTCTCCGTTGTTCGGAGCCAAGCTGTGTCGAGCCCCGCTCAATATTTCTCGTGTCGCCCGGCCGCTAAGAGAAGCGAGCCCTCTCCCTATATCATATTCTTAATCGTCGCGTTCATTTGATTTCGAATACCCTAAACCGACATTATGACTGGTCAATCCAAACCTGTGCTGTCGCCATGGGGCAGCGCCGTGGCGGGTGCGACAGGCGCCGTCCTCGCGAACGCGATGGTGTACCCGCTTGACTTGTGAGGTCCCAGATAAAACAGTCCTCAAATTATCAGATCAAATCTCGCTGACTCTATCGCTCTTCATCCTGTAGAGTCAAGACAAAACTACAAGTACAAGTCAAGGAGAAGAATGCATCCGTGCAAGCCGACGATGTCGAACATTATGAATCCACCATGGATGCCATCACCAAAATCGTGGGGAAAGAGGGCTATAGTGGTCTGTACTCCGGAATGGTTGGAGCCCTTCTAGGTGTCGCCTCAACAAACTTCGCATACTTCTATTGGTACAGCGTCGTAAGAACGCTCTACGTGACTTCTACCAAGTCGTCTCAGGCTCCCGGCACAGCGATTGAGCTTTCCCTGGGCGCCGTCTCTGGTGCCGTGGCTCAGATTTTTACTATCCCGGTGGCTGTTATTACAACCCGGCAGCAGACACAGCCAAAGGGCGATAAGAAGGGGTTGATCGAGACGGGTCGGGAGGTGGTCGAGAGCGAGGACGGCTGGACCGGCCTGTGGCGCGGCCTGAAGGCCAGCTTGATTCTGGTCGTTAACCCGGCCATCACCTATGGTGCATACCAGCGCCTGAAGGAGGTTATCTTCCCGGGGAAGAACAACCTCAAGCCCTGGGAGGCATTCCGTGAGTAGTGGCAATCACCGGGGTCAACAACGACTTGCTAATTATGAAATTAGTGCTTGGTGCCATGTCCAAGGCTTTGGCCACGATCGCAACCCAGCCTCTGATCGTCGCAAAGGTTGGACTGCAGTCTCGCCCACCGCCTAGCCGGAATGGCAAGCCCTTCAAGACCTTTGGCGAGGTCATGAAGCATATTGTCGATAATGAGGGTCTCTTTTCCCTCTTCAAGGGCATTGGACCTCAGATTCTGAAGGGTCTTTTGGTCCAAGGTCTGCTGATGATGACGAAGGAGAGGTATGTGTTTCTGTTCATAATTTCGCATTTGCTTGTGCTAACTCTCGCAAAGGATGGAGCTCCTTTTCATTGTCCTGTTCGCCTACCTCAAGAACATCAAGAAGGATAAATTGCGTAAGGCAGTGGACTTGGCAGCGGAAAAGGCCAAGACTAGCATGCCTGCTACCCTAAAGTAATTGTTTTATAGTCAGACGGTGGGATTTTTCCGAACTGTGTTTACCTAACTGGCGCGTTGGCGTGCCATTGGAAATTTTGGTGGGTTTTGAACAGTCTAGACATTTCCCGGCATTTTCTTGTTGGAAACACTTGATATGATAGATACTTGTGTTTCCAGCTTTTCAATATCACTATAGATCTGTACATGGTCATGTCATGCCTTACTTGCTTAAGCTCCCATGTAGTACTTGTTTTTGGACGCACTATTTAGCTAGTTATAATATCCCTGATTACACATGTAGAAAGGTCCTCTATACGTCAATACATTTCACCACCTTCGTATATTATACCCAAGTAAAGTCTACAACTTCCATGTCAATGGCGAGTATGGTAGTAATGGCCGCTGAGTACCTACATAAGAATGAAAGACATTTGAGAAGCCACGTAGGCATCATTTTGGGCATCATTCTACAACGATCCCTCCAATAGTTAGTTGTAGTTATTTCAAGGTCATTGGTTGTTTACTAATAAGAGGAATTGGTGGTTGCTGCTTTACCGCTTGACTGATCAACTTTTACCCCAACAACTGTCAACACCCCTCACCAAACCCTCGTTCTCACACCACGTAAACTTGCCACTTGTGTGGCATGGGTCGTGATGCGATGGCCGCCATGGAGCTCCGAGTCGACCAATGACGACCAAAAACAAACACCCGGCTCCTGGCTCTCCTCCGCGGCGAACAACCCGAGTTCCATCTTCGACTGGACAGCATTCACAGAAGTCAGAACCATTGTCCCAACCCTCGTCCTGACAAGCGGCATTCTTATTGCAGTGCGCTTCCACCGCCGCTACCTACGGCGCATCCCCGACGCGCCCAGCATCTCGTCCTCGTATCTTCGACGGCGGAGCATCTTCGGCCAAGTCACAAGCGTCGGCGATGGAGACAATTTCAGGATATTTCATACACCGGGAGGCCGCATGGCTGGATGGGGCTGGTTACCGTGGAAAAAAGTTCCCACTGTGAAGAAGGATCTGAAGGATAAAACCGTTCGTCACCCACCACTCACCTATTCGCTTGCTGCTCAGAACAGGCATAACTATGCCTCTACATATCATACCACAGGCCCATTCTTTATATCTACAAATAGCTTACATATTCACTCAACCCCAGATCCACATCCGCCTCGCTGGCGTCGACGCCCCAGAACTAGGCCACTTCGGCCACCCCGAACAACCTTTCGCGCGAGACGCACACGCCTGGCTAACATCCTACCTGTCAGGCCGGCGAGTTCGTGCCCTCGTCTACCGCCAGGATCAATACTCGCGCGTGGTAGCGAGTGTTTTCGTCCGGCGCGCATTTGACTTTCCGCCATTCCGTCGGCGGGATGTTTCTTACGAAATGCTGAAGCGTGGCTTGGCTACTGTATATGAAGCGAAGGTTGGCTCTGAATTTGGCGGTGAAAAGATGGAGAAGAAATATCGCAAGGCCGAGTGGCAGGCTAAGAAGCGAGCCAGGGGGCTTTGGAAGGATTATGGTCGTGTCGGGTCTGCTTGGGAGAGTCCGAGAGAGTATAAGAAGCGGATTGGTATGGAAGATCCTCCTCCGATGGAGAAAGGGAATGGGAAGGGGAATGGGAAGGGGAATGGCAAGGGGAATGGGAAGGGGAAAACCGGGCAGAAATAGATGAACGGGTCGCGGTAAGCTGGGCTTGCGATTGTGGCTATGAGCGTTTATATGTTGTTTTTTATGTTCTGGCATTTGCATTTGCATGTGACGAGATGGCACGACTACCATTTCACTATACAGCGTTGTAAATGTATGGATAGTATGCGACAATCATGATCAAATCGCACTTTGAATGCTGAATATGACACCAAGTTTCGTTAATCTATACATGCGCGGGGGGTTTTGTTCCAAACCAGGCCCCAATTTCTAAATGGACATCAAGACTCGAGTAATCCGCCTATAGATTAGGAGAATACAACGACAAAAGTCAGTATGCAGGCTATTATTTGCTCAGCAGAACCGCCGCTCAACCTCAGCGAACAATTTTGGGCTAATTTCGTTGGAGCTATTACCCTCCGCATGGAATAGACACCCTTGACGGTCATAGTGCTCCAAGAGGGATTTGCTCGTCTCCTCAAACTTCTGTAAACGCTGCTTCCATGTATCGAGAGAATCGTCCTCTCGCTGCGTCAGCGGCTCGCCCGTGACATCGTCTCTGCCTGGCACCTTTGGTGGATGGAAGTCTGTATTATACACGCGCCCTGAGGGCTCGTGGACCCAGCGTGATGCGATGCGGGCGAGAATCACTGATGGAGGGGTGATTATGTGCACGACAAAGTTGACCGATACTAGGCTGTCCAAGGCTATTGCCTGAGTTGCGGTACGGGGAAACCCGTCGAGAATAAATGAGGCAGAGGGATCGATTGTGTGGGCTGATGAGGAAGTATCGGCTGAAGAAGATGACGAGGATGTTGCGGATGGTGAGGATGGGAGTGGTGGGAGGAGCCAGCCCTTAGATTTCATATCATCGGAGATCAATTTCAGGATCATTGAGTCGGGAACAAGGTTGCCGGACTGCATTGTGGCCTCGGCTTCCAGGCCTATTACTATGTTAGAGATCTCTGCTCTGTACGAAACTGCGCCGTTGCTCATTCTACTTACCGAGGGGTGTGCGTAGGCGCACATTTTCTCTCAACAGATCACCTGAGCTGATGGAAGCCAGCTGTGGAAATCGGGATAGCAGTCGCTCAGACTGTGTCCCTTTTCCTACTCCAGGCGCGCCAATCAAGATGATCCGCGCGGCCTTACGGAGCTGCTTTGTCACATGCGACATAATATGGGATTGCTGATGCTGATGCTGAGGGCTGAGGTTCAAGGTTGCTGGAACGGAGAATTCGACGGTTTCAAATGCTGGGGATGCGGGAGGAACGACGGGGAGAAAATATGCACAATATCAGGACAGCATAATGGATTGAAGGGAAGAGTGAAGGCCTGGGATTAGAAAACAACCGGTCGCATATCTCCAAGGCTAACTCTTTTGAGAATGTTGCTTCTGCGGGGACGCCCGGGGAGGTTGATCTTTTCGGCTATCGGTGAAGACTCCGAGGTAAGCTGTATGGCAGCACTCAAGTCTATGTAGGTAATTATGAAAATATTATACGAGAACATAACATAACTACCCCGAGCGAAGATCAAAGACTTATATATCTACTTACAGGACTCGGTATCAATGCTCATGTCACATGTCGTGCCACATGGTCGTAGAAAACGCTCTGATCGGGGAAAGCCACCACCCGTGCTCAGGCCAAGCACCCCAGGGAGCCCCAGGGAGCCCCCGGGGCCCCAGGGCTGGGGTACAGTATTACGTAATATGCGCCAACCGATTTCTTTCACGTGATTCTACGCGTGGGACGCGTTCGCGTTGACCAATTTAGTGCGGAGATCTCATACATTCGTTTCTCGACAACACAATACCTACACCATGATTCGACAAGACGCCCATCGCATTGATCCCAAACGACGGGCTGTTATTGACCCTAAAAAAAGACAATTTGCTACCCCAGCGTACAAGCAGCAGGACTATGCTCACCGTCTGAACATTTATGAAATACCTCCTACCGCGGAGATCACCCTCGAACAATTCGAGCAATGGGCCATTGACAGACTGAAAAGTATGCAAATTTACACCTTCCTGTTGTATTTCTACCCACTAATACCAAACAGTCTTGGCCGAAATCGAAGCATGCTCTTATAGAAACAAATCCCCCGCCGAGACAGCGACCTACATTACACCCCTGCTACAGAAATTCCTCCCTCTCTCCTCCAATACATCCTCTCCCTCTGGCGCTGCAGACCCCCGCTTGAAAAATGAGCGCCAAAAGGACCATTACTCCCATTTCATCCTCCGGTTGGCGTTCTCGGCCACAGAGGACCTCCGTCGGCGTTTCGCCCGCGCCGAGACCATGCTGTTTAGATTTCGTTTCCAGCAGGACGACTCGAGGGAGAAGCGCGCATTCATCGATAGCTTGAATCTCGATTGGGAACCTGTGGGTGACTTTGAAAAGACGGAGATTGCGGAAAGTCTCCTCAGCTCCACGCCCGGGCTGCGTCGGCTTGATGATGAGACCTGGTATAAAGTCGATTGGGAGAAGGTTCCCGAACTGGTCGAACGGCGCGCGGTTTTCCTGAAAAAAGGCAAAGCTTATGTTCCTGGTCGAGAGCAGCTGAGCATGATCATGGCTGAGTTTACCGCTCGCTTGGAGCGCGCACTCGAGGTATGTCTGCAGTGGTGACGCTTAATACATGAAATCTCGTGGCTGATTAATTCTAGCTCACGAGTCGTGCCCTCCCTCGTTTGGACGAGGATGATCGTCTAACGCCTATTCTCAATCATCTTTCAAAGAACTTCGGCAGCGCCGAGTCGGTATACTCGGAAGGCGAAGGGTATGTGGACGGATCTCCGATCACGGCCAGCTCCATCGACCAACTGGCCCAACAGCATTTCCCGTTGTGTATGAAGAGCTTGCACGTGAACTTGCGCAAGAACAACCACCTGAAGCACTTCGGTCGACTACAGTATACGCTCTTCCTGAAGGGTATTGGCTTGTCCTTGGAGGAGTGTATTTTGTTCTGGCGTCAGTCGTTCAAGGGCAAGACCGATGACGAGTTCAACTCCCAATACAAGTACAATATCCGTCACGCCTATGGCGAGGTCGGTGGGGATGTGAATCGTCGCGGAAAGGGCTATACTCCCTACTCGTGCCAGAAGATCCTCGGCGATTCGAATCCCGGCATTGGCCAGACTCACGGCTGTCCCTATCGCCATTACTCGGTTGATAACTTGGTGGGCTTCCTCCAGGCCACTGGCGTCAATGACAAGGAAGTCCTGCGGGGTGTGCGTGAGGACGTTGGTAAGATGCGGTATCACATTGCTTGCAACAGAGTGTTCGAGGCGACACACAAGAATGAGATCAAGAAAGTCAAGGAGGATGGCTCGTGGAGTCAGACTGACCTTGACACAATTGTTCATCCTAACACCTACTTCAAGCGCAGCTTCCTGTTGAAGCAGATGACCAAGGCCCCGAAGGATGCTTAGGGCGTCTTTTCACATGTCAAATTTTCATGATATAATGTCGGGCAGTTTCCCAGTTTTCTGTTTTATAGTCGGCGTTTAGAGGGAGCATAAGCTTGTACGAGCACATTTGAAGCAGGTGGAATTGAAGCAAGATAATATATATTCTAACCATTATGGTATACAAAATGGGAGTGTGACCACAGCTGATTCCCAGAGAATCGGAAAGGATCAGAATGACCTCTCAAATCCAGGTGCCCAGCAACGGGTCAAGTCGTTCTCCGCTCAACGAGTGGACAACTTTGCCATGGAATGACGGAAGTTGTCGATATTAACATGTTTACACACATTGTAGGCTGGCGTGAAATTGAAGAAGAAAAAGAAAAGAGCAGCAGAAACTGCGCACGAGCCGAGTTTTAAGGATGTTTTGATCCGGGAGGCGGCAGAGACCAACTGTGCTGCAACCTGGCCTTACTCACGGATTGGACCTCCACACAACATACTCCTCCATCTCGTTCATTCAATCCCTAGGTATTAAACGGGACTCTGATTTCTTTTGGGACTGGATTATGCTCCGGGTGGCTCACTTGCTTTAATTTCTTGGAGTAGACCCTAAATTTCAAGGTTCCCTCTCCTCGCGACTTCTCGGTATCCGCATATACCCCCTCCCTTTGTCAACACAGGACCGAGTCCCGGAACATCTACCTACAAGATGGATTACGAAGCGCTCAAGGATCAATGGAGCGATGTGGAGGACCGCGATGGCCTCAGGCTCAGTTGGAACACTTTCCCGAGCACTCGTATGGTTCGTGATAGTGGCCCTCTCTGACCTTCACCGCATCATCCGCTGATGCTTGATATAGGAAGCGTCCCGCTTGGTCGTTCCCATCGCCGCCGTGTACACACCGTTGAAGGAAAAGCCCGACGCTCCCTTGCTACAATATGAGCCCGTTACTTGCAAGCAGCCCTGCCGAGCTGTGCTCAACCCATATGCGTACGTGACATGTCGATCTGATATACCTCAATGAGTAGATGGACTGACGCTTGGACAGCACTGTCGATGTCCGCGCACGAGTCTGGATCTGCCCCTTCTGTCTCTCGCGCAACCCTCTCCCTCCGCATTACAAGGATATTACAGAGAACACGATACCCCCAGAGCTCCACCCCCAGAGCACGACAATCGAGTACCAATTGGCACGGCCAGCCCCCGCTCCCCCCATTTTCGTCTTTGTCGTCGATACCTGCCAGGAGGATGATAGTCTGCAGGCTGTGAAGGATTCCCTCATCATGAGCTTGTCTCTTCTGCCGCCCAATGCGCTGGTTGGTCTGATTACGTTCGGTACAATGGTAGGCAATGATGATCTTCGCAACGCAGGTGACATGTTGTTGACCTTGATATATAGGCCCAAGTTCACGAGCTCGGCTACATCGAATGCGCCAAGTCATACGTGTTCAGAGGCAACAAGGAATACAACGCCAAGCAGGTTCAGGAGATGCTGGGCCTATCCGGTGGCGTGCGCCCCGGTGTTCCCCAACAACAGCCAGCTCGTCCTCCTCTTGGCCCGGCTGCGCGCTTCCTCATGCCCGTTCAACAGGCTGAGTTCCAGATCACCAATGTCCTCGAACAATTGCAGCGCGATCCCTGGCCAGTGGCCAATGACAAGCGTCCCCTGCGCTGCACCGGTGTTGCCCTGAGCGTTGCCGTCGGTCTGCTTGAGAGTTCCTTCCAGAACGCCGGAGGCCGCATCATGACCTTTACCAGTGGTGCAGCAACTGAGGGCCCTGGCCACGTTGTTTCGCCTGAACTGAAGGAGCCTATTCGTTCGCACCACGATATTGAACGGGACAATATCAAATACTACAAGAAGGCTGTTAAGGTCGGTTCTCAACGCGTGAGTGTATTGGATTTTGCTAATTTGCTCCTAGTTCTATGATGCCCTCGCTAAGCGCGCTGCCAACAATGGCCATATTGTCGATATTTTCGCCGGCTGTCTTGATCAAGTCGGTTTGCTGGAAATGAAGAACCTCTCCAACTTTACTGGCGGTTACATGCTTCTCACCGATAGCTTCACATCCTCACAGTTCAAGCAATCGTTCGTGCGCGTGTTCGACAAGGACGCCGCCGATAACCTCTTGATGGGCTTCAATGCATCCCTCGAGGTGCTCACGACCAAGGAACTTAAGGTTACTGGTCTGATTGGGCATGCCATCTCGCTGAACAAGAAGTCAAGCTCTGTTGGCGAGACAGAATGCGGTATCGGTAACACCTGTGCATGGAAGATGTGTGGAATGGACCCATCCTCTAGCTACGGTATTTACTTTGAGATTGCCAACCAGGGCGGCCCAGCTGCTGTTCAGCCTGGTCCTCAACGGGGTATGATTCAGTTTTTGACATACTACCAGCATTCCTCTGGGCATTATCACCTGCGAGTGACCACCACTGCCCGCCCCTTGAGCGGACCTGCAGGTGACCCAACCCTGGCACAATCCTTCGACCAAGAGGCTGCCGCTGTCCTCATGGCCCGTATTGCAGTGTTCAAGGCGGAGGTTGATGACGGTCCAGACGTCCTGCGCTGGGTTGATCGTATGCTGATCAGACTCTGCTCCCGATTCGCTGACTACCGGAAAGATGACCCGACATCATTCCGATTGGAAAAGAACTTCACCTTGTACCCTCAGTTCATGTTCCATCTCCGCCGAAGTCAGTTCTTGCAGGTTTTCAACAACTCGCCCGATGAGACTGCTTTCTACCGCCACGTTTT